CATACATATGCGCGCGCTCCTTAACATACTCTTTCACACATCTTGTCTCCTACTCACATATTGTACACAAACATGCATATTGTATATTTAGACTCACAAACAGACTCACAGTCACACACACAACATTTTATTATGAAATAAATTAATAATAAAGTTGTTAACTTTAATCATATTGTTTAAGCTACATACATAACCAGATTTCTCCTTTAGTGTCAAATTGTTCCTTTCTGACAGGCAGGTCTCTCATGACAAAAGCAGTGACAGAAAACAATTTTCTTCTTCCCACGATACATGTATTATTATTATTATTTATATCGTTTCTCCTCGTATTCGTGACTTGGAAAGGAAGAGAAAAGTGTTCTGTTCGCCTGTCTTGTATTTGAATGCTGATACTATAAATTTATTAACAGCATCTCCGTTTTATTATTAAAAGGAACAGAAAACAAAACGCAAACACGACCCCCAAAAAATAAAAAAACAAACAAACAAACCCCCCCCCAAAAACCCAGTTACTTTGCTAAAATCTGGAGATTAATGAATTTGGTAAGATCCATTACACGTATCTTTATCATTCTGTTATTGTTATCTCTTCTAGCCTTTCTAATATTTTAATGGTCTCGTCAATTTTTGGGCATGTGGAGTTATTAGAATCATCTGAAAGCTGATTTATTTGCCTTGTTTCTTATAAAACAGATATTGATTTGTCTTGGATAGAACTCAAGATATTTGCCTTGTTTCTTATAAAACAGATATTGATTTATCTTGGATAGAACTCAAGATGTTTGCGATTGATGGAAGTGAGGTCGCATGGTTTCAGTGGTGAAATTAGCAAGTCAATGACCGCCAAAGTTTGGTAAGTCCAATAGCTAAAGAGTCTTTGAAAACTTAAAGATGACAAATTTTGTGCTTTTAACCAATGTTTCCAGTAAAATTCACATGGAAATGTGTTTTTAAATGGATGTAAAAGAGGTTAAGCCAAAAAATAAAAATTCGATACAAATGTCCAAACTGGCGGAATAATAATGCCCGTTTCTCCGATTTTGTTATTTTGACGAGCGCTTGATTTCACCGCGCTGCCTCACATATTATACCCAACAAATACACTCGCTGGAATAAAAAAAAATAATATGGCTGCGTTAATGTTCTAAAAAGATACGCTTTCAAATTAATTTTAAAGATTCAGTATTAATTTTCTTTCTTTCTCCCAAAAATTGGGAGAGTATTCCAAGTTTTAGGGCCAGTAAATGCAGTTAATGATACATTTAGCATTTAGAGCGGCGTTCCGCGGCGTTTAAATCCCCGAACGCAAGACAGTCCCGTGGTATGCCTTTCTATGAGGTCTAAGAAGAATGGCCGGTTACAATTGGGTGAAAACGAAGTCATAAGGCGAAAGTAAAGTTGTTCTTCTTTTTAGGGGGCTTTTGAATGGTCAAAGTTGACCCAGAAATAGGGCATGTGAGAAATTTTAAAACAAATGATGTGGCGAAA